ATTACCTTTGACCAAAATTTGAATTGTTTGGGAAGATTCAGAGGCCACCTGGCTGAAAAGGAAGATACGATAACTATTTCCAACATGGGAGAGCTTTAATTCATTAGACGACGCCACAGTACTATGAAATAAATTTGCGTTTTAAAATTTTTCTACATGTCTGATAAAAGAAAACTTAGGTTCTTTTGTCTAATCTCAAAGCTCCTGAACCATTCCTTAGGCTGTAGTCAACTTCTGTCTGTTACTGATTCCATAGATGACTCTGTTTTGTTAGCGACCCCATGCACAACAGAACGAAATACTGTCCAGTCCTGTGTCATCCTCACAATCGTTGTTATACTTGAGCCCATTGTTGCAGCCACTGTGTCAATCCATCTTGTTGAGGGTCTTCCTCTTTTTCGCTGACCCTCTGCCAAGCATGATGTCCTTCTCCAGGGACTGGTCACTTCTGATAATATGTCCAAAGTAAGTAACATGAAGTAAGCTGCCCAATTTTATAGGAAAATTATGTCTTCCACTTCACTTGTTTACAACTTAAGCCACAGAATATGTAATTTACCAAATCAGTCAACAAATGAGTAAAATGAAAACTGGAGAGAGATAAACTCAATTTGCAGGGGTCAAGAGCACACGGCCCAGAAGGGTGCAATGGAGATGAAGTCTGTATTGCAGGGAAGGGATCTGAGCCCAGGAGTTAACTACGGATAATATATTTTGGACTAAAAGGGAATATTGCAAAATAGAAAGGGAGCTTAAACAGCTACTTGTGGCTTAATGAACTTGTCATCTCTCCTTCCATCAGTCCTTAAAATTAGCTGTTTATGAAATTGGACTCCAGACTCCTCCAGTTACAAGTTATGATTCCTGATGCAGGCCTGCTACATTTTAAGTTTTTCATAGCTTTTATCACTGATCTGGAAAAGCAGGAAGGGATGTGAAAAAAAAAGGATGCTATTGTGCAGGAAGCCAAAATTAATCCATTTTGTGACGGCATCTGCTACTTTCCTTCGAATGTCACGAGAGTAACAATAGGTAACTTCATACTCAATAGATGACATCCTGATGACAAGCATCTTTACAAAATTAACCACATTACCCACTATAATTAGCTCTCTTGCAAGATTAAACAATATAAAATTTTAAATTACTGAGTGATTAAACCACAATTACATGATTTCAAGCTTCTGAATGAAAAAACTACATTTACACTTGGCAAAGGAAAACAGGATAAGAACAGAAGCAATAATGAGTCAAATGGACTACCAGAAATCAATTTTCTTTTGTGGGAGGCAGTGAGAATAGAGGACTAAATTTCCTATTACCATAAACATTATTTAATATCAGGCTTTGATAAAGGTAATTTTGAAATTTCATCTGGGCATTGTTGTTATCCTACAAATATGAATACCCATCGTATGATACCTACCCTGGGGTAAAGTTAATTGCAGAAAATTTTCACAAGCAGCTCCCTGCTCCTTACCATATTATACAGTAGAGATGTTGAAACAAGTTCTGATTGCCAGGATAAGTATTTTGCTTTTCAGCTGAATATTGTGTTAACATGCCAACTTTCTCTTTAGAATTAATTGTTTTGGTCCTTTAAACTAAGATTCTTTCAAGAACCACTGCAGGAAATTGAGTGATTCAGAACTCATCAACTATGAACCAACCTTCAACGCCAGAGGTGTTAGCAGGTTGCCAATAAAAATTCAGCTTAGGTCCCCAGATTAGGTAAGTCTAAAGGAAACCTCAAAATCATGTGAACCAACCCTTTCTGCCAGTTTGCTCTGACCAATGAGGTTTAATTATTATTACTTATTAAATGCTTTGAAAGGTAATATAAGAATAGACTGAAACATTTTATAAACATGAAGAAATTTTAGTCATGTTGGCCTTCTGCTTTAAAATTTGTTCTGAACCTTATACACTGGTGGTGGTGGTGGTGGTGTTGGGTGCCATCGAGTTGGTTCCGACTCACAGCGACCCTGTGTACAACAGAATGAAACACTGCCCGGACCTGTGCCATCCTCACAATCGTGGCTATGTTTGAGCCCACTGTTGCAGCCACTGTGTCAGTCCATCTTGTTGAGGGTCTTCCTCTTTTCGCTGACCCTCTACTTTACCAAGCATGATGTCCTTCTCCAGGGACTGGTCCCTCCTGGTAACATGGCCAAAGTACGTGAGATGAAGTCTCACCATCCTTGCTTCTAAGGAGCATGCTACCTGTACTTCTTCCAATACCAGATATGTTCGTTCTTCTGGTGGGTATATGAAATGGTGCAAATACTTTGGAAAAGTCTGGCAGTCCCAAAAATGGTTAGACATTGAGTTGTCATATTAGCCAGCAATTCTACTCCTAAGTATATACCCAAGAGAAAGGAAAACATGTCCACTCAAAAACTTGTACATGAATATTTATAGCAGTATTATTCAAAATAACCAAAAGGTAGAAACAACCCAGATGTCCATCATCTGATAAACAAAAAGTGGTATATCCATACAATGGAATGTTATGCTGCAATAAAAAGAGAGGAACTACTGATAATATGCTACAGCGTGACGAACCCTGAAAACATGTGAAGTGAAAGAAGCCAGTCACAAAAGACCATATACTGTATGACTCCATTTATATGGAATGTCCAGAAGAGGTACACACATATAGAAAGTAGATGAGTGGTTGCTTAGCGCGGGGGGGAGTGGGGGGTCGTGATGAAAAAGGGGGTGACAGATGAAGGGTATGGGGCTTCTTTTTGAGGTGATGAAAATGTTCCAAATTTGACTGTGGTGGTGGTTGTACATTATCTGTTGTGGATATACTAAAATCCATGAATTATACACTTTAAATGGGTAGGTATGTGAATTGTAAACTCAATAAAGCTGTTATTTTAAAAAAAAAAATCTGTTCTGAGATGTAAGGTACTTCAGAATTAGCAAACCTCTTCCACAAATCTTTTCTGGTCAATGGTAAAAGAATCAGTGAAACTAAAATCCAATTTACTTCATTGTAATTGGAACCAGCTTGCAGTATTTTGATATGTACATTTCTAAAATGTGAATGTAGTTTAAGAAAATACATCATTACATCAGATATTCCAGGCAGCCTGCCATGAGGCACTTTTACCAAAACCATTTAAAAGAAATCCATTTAATCAGCCTCAGAGTATACATTCTCTCTTGCTGCTTAATTTCCTTTTAAACTATTGTCTCCCTAAAATGCCCATGCTAAACAGAATTGGGCAGGATCAATTCACTCATTGATGCAACAATATTTGAACCCTTACTGTATACCAGGCACTGCTCTAGGCAGTGGAAATTATATACACATATACATGTATGAATGTACATATGTGTATATATCTATATATATATGGGGAAGAACAAGACGAAGTCCCTGCTCTCAGGGAGCTAACAATCTAGTAGGGCCAGATAAAAAAAAAAAAATACCGGTTTTAAAATTTACCTAAAAAAACAGGGTGCTGCGCTGTTATTTTAGAGACAGTGACTAGGAAGGAGGCTTCTCTGAGGAAGTGATGTTTGAGGTGAGGCAAGAAAAAGTGTCAGCCATACACAGATCAGGGAGATAATTTCAGGTAAAGGAAATAATTCTTGCATAGTAGAATCAGGAAAGAAAAAACCCAACACAATGAACCACGTGCTGTTGGTGACCGACCTCCCTCAGGGATTATTACGCACCATCCTAGCCCAGGGATGTCTGCCAAAGGTGACTTGCAGACTGTGGTTGGAACAAGATGTCTTACCTACCTTAAACCATTACAAGGTCTGACAACTTTTCAACAAAAAGAAACTATCCCTGGTAAGCCCAGTCTAAAGTGATTTTTTCTCCTTTCTTTGTACCTCTCAGAAACTGTTACCTGTACCATTCCTCTCAACCCATACTGGTGAGAGGCACTACGCTGAGAGTGCTGGGACTTAAAGACAGATCAGACACACATCCTGGGAGCCCTTCATGCAGGAAAGAATCTAGTTGATGAGCATAAACAACTAAATAAGGGAGAAATAGAGCCCTGGTGGAGTAGTGGTTAAGACCTCAGCTGCTAACCAAATGGCCAGCAGTTTGAATCCACCAGCCACTCCTTGGTAACTCTATGGGGGTAGTTCTACTCTGTCCTATAGGGTCACTATGAGTAGAAATCGACTTGACAGCAGCGGGTATGGGTATGGTAAGGCAGAAATAAAAGCAGGCCAGCAAAGAGAGTTATAAAATGGAGGGATGTCCTGGGAGCACTTTCAGCTGGGGTCTCAGGAAGCTTCATGGAGGTGAGGGCAAGAGAGCAGGGAGGCTGTGAAGACTGAGGATAATGTGGGGGTGGAGGGGGGGAACAGACTTCTGTCTTGTATCCCTAATTAACTTTAAATTGGCTGAAATATTTGAAAATATTTCAGCTCCCCAAGCGAGTTATAAGCTCAGGGAGAGCAGGTCTCATACTCCTTGGTATTCAGCATAGTGTTCTGCAGAGTTGGGTAAGTCATTTGTTGATTCACTCTAAGAGATGAGATGCCAATTTTAGCATGGGAGGTAAGGCTAAATTACTCTTTACTTTGCTTCAGAAGGAGGTTTTGGCCTTTAAACAGATGATTTCCCCAGACTTCTGAATTCATTCATCTCACTTCAGAGGGACAATCCTAGGAGTTCTTCCAAAACTAAGAGGTATTACATCTAAACACGTATACAATGTGCTTCTGCATATACACACATATAAAAAATGTTTGCATACATGCTTCTGTGTGTGTGTGCATAAGTCTATCACTATACCTTCAGTTCAGAATCTCACAAAATGATTTTAAACTTGCACTGCTAAATTGAATGTGCACCTAAGAGAAAATACTTTTTTCACTGATCCAAGCTTTCCCGTTCAGGCCCTAAAAATCCCTTCCCATTCCCGACAACAAAAAGTCTTAAACCAGAGAAGAAAAGCCAAGCAACATTTTTTTAGGCAGTGTCTCAGTATCTCCCCAAAATATTCCATGGCCAAACTCACCATAGAGAGCTGTCCAAGTTTGATTAATTACATCTAGACACACGGTTCCTGACCTGAAACAGATGGAAAGAAGGGCATTTTTTAAAAAATTAGAAAGTTAGTTGCATGTATCTGGCAACTAATTTTATTTATCACGGAAATGTACTAAATCATGCTTCTAATAGATTAAAAGAATCCCAGTTGAAGGGAAGCACGATGAGCAGTGGAATATTTACAAGGTCTTATGTGTCTTCTTATAGACTAAAAGGGAAAAATAGTAACTATACAGTGGGGAAACCAGATAACACCTTAACCACGGGGTTAAAATTAACACTGGCAACAAGGGGCACACAGCCCTCGACCACCTCGGAATGCGTTCCCCGGAGAGGGCACGATCTCACTGTCGTGGTTTTCTGGCCATGAGTGCATACCCTGAATCTAGTCATAAGGAAACATCAGACAAACCCAAATTGCAGGTAATTCTGTAAAATAACTGGTCTATATTCTTCAAAAATGTCAGTTTCGTAAATGACAAAGAAAGGCTGAAGAACGGTTCTGATTTAAAAGGAGATTAAAGAAACATGACAACTAAACGCAATACATGATCCTGGGCTGAATACTGTACTGAAAGGGAAAAAAAGCCACAAAGTACCTTACTGGAATGTGACTGTAGATTAGATAAAAAGTGTTGTTTTAATATTAAATTCCTGAATCTAACAACTGTACTGTGGTTATATAAGAGGATATCCTTATGGTTAGAAAATATCCATTAAAGTGTTAAAGGACAAGCGGGCATGATGTATGAATACAACCTACTCACACAGGATTCAGAATACCTCATGTGTGGGTGTGTGTTTAACAGCAAAAGTTAATCTCATGACAATAAAAAACCAAATGTACTGAAAGTATAAAACAGGATGCACTGGTATCACATTTTTAAACACTAACAAAATATTAGAAGGAAAAAAGACATAATTAAGATTCACAAACTAAAAAGAAACTACAGTTATTCATGTCTGCCATACTCTCAAGAACTGAGAAATACTGTAAGGGCTGAAAATAATTGTGCATACTGAAAGCAGATCTCTGATAGTGTCTATGCAGAGAGACTTGAGATATGGAATATTACCAAAGTTAGCTGGATGACAATGGAAAAAACTAAGTCACACAACAGCAGAATTTGAACTAACTGGTTTACAATATCATATCCCTGGGTCTCTATAGTTTAAGTGACCATTCATACTGTCTTATTCCTAATAAAATTAAAAAGATAATTTTGAGGTTTGTTTTTTTTGTTCGTTTGTTTTAAAATAATGGAGAGCAGTTGCTGGTAGATTTAAACATTTTTAAATAGTTACTTACGCTTCATCAATGTTGGGATGGAAAATTTTATTCATGAATCCTGTAAAAAGAGATGTTAATTAGCAGCAAAAAGTATCCAGAGAACAATTAGTTTTAAGTTCAGCCTCTATAAACAATTTCAGTATTGGAAAAAGGTGATAATATCCATAAATAATTACTTTCAAACCTAAATCTTTTGATACCGATAAGACTATATTCTCCTGACAGCTCTGATTACTTAAAATACATCAGAGTTCTATAAATCAAATGAGCAAACTCTGGGAGCAATTAAACTTCCTATACAAAATAATCATAAAAATAAGTTGTTGTTTGAGCTATGAACGTACTCGCCAAAAGAGACTTTATAATACTAAATGTCTTATAACTAGCATGTCATGATAAAGCTGAAGAAAGCTCACTCTGACTTGTTATTGTTCAATCTCTAAAGGTGGAGTTTCTGCACGTGAACTTCTCCTTCTGTAGCACATTTACTGGTACCACTCTGATAACACCATGTGCGGAACATGAATGAAGCTGTCGAAACTCTAAAGGAGCACCCCTTCCAAACCACAAAGGATTTCATAAGAACAGAGACCAGAATATTTCCTTTAACTCTCGTCTACTCATTCCAGGAAACCCAGATTTGATTAAAATTGGGCCAACCACGGAATGAATCAAAGAGTGAATTTTTTGAAAAAATTTCTGCAAGGTGGCTATATCTGTCAGCGATCTAAGTGTTTTAATTTATTCCTAAAAAAGCAAGGATTGACTTTAACAAATACACTGATATTTACATTCAAAGGAGAAATGAATTCATTTTCTAACTGAAAATCTGTGATTTGGTCAGTTTGTAAATATACAAATGGTATTCTAAAGCAGAGATTCGCTGTCAAAGCTGTCCTTTTGTCCTCCTTCATACCTCATTTCCTTTTAGGACTTCCTTATTCCATGCCATACTTTCAATAAACTGAAGTTCCTTCCTAAGATGATCGTCACCATCACTACATCCCACTCCTGCCCTCCATCCCTCCCAACCTCCCCACCCCAGCACAAGTTCCCTTTCATTCATTCAAAACTTATGGTCAACACCTGCACATCAGGCATTGTGCTCGCTCAGGGTACAAAAATGAAATAAGGTGATCTACCATTTTTGAGGAGGACACTGTGTACAGCAGGACAAGAGACATGAAGAAATGACTGTAATGTGTACAAAGTGTTGAGACTGCTGGGGGGAGGGGTCCTCAGTAGGAAGAGGAAGAGAGTTAGGAAAGAGGTCGTGGCACTGGAGGAAGGTCTCCAGGATGTATTGGGACAGAGGTTGTCTCCAAAAATCTAAGAAACTTCCCTCAATGAGAAAACGGGGGATAGGAATATGAAAACCCCAGGTATATTCTAGTCCTCGCCTGCTCTAGTCACGCCAAGTGTTAATCACGCTTCTAATTTTTGCTCTTAAATCCTGTTTTTTAAATAGCTTCGTGTTTTATCCACTATTATCAAGAGAGTCCAGCAATGTTTGAATTATTCTGATGCAAAAAGAAAAGCCCTTTGCACAATTACTAGTTCATATTAATTTTTCATTAAGGAAATGAAAGATGGTTCAAAGTTTAGATTTAAGAGGTATGTGGTTTAAAGAGATAAAATTAAGCCAATGGAAATGTTTGTGTCTTAATGTCAAGAGGAAAAAAGGCAGGATAAAAAGTTCCATGTGACCCTGGAAAAACACTAATACATGTGTGGCCAAAGAGACCGATGTGAAGATTTCACCGCAGCATTGTTTTTAAAAATCAAGAAACAAAATGGATAAACTGTGGTAAATCCATGTATCAGTGGTCCTATACAAAGGTAATGAACTAGATCAATATGTATCAAGTTGATGAGTAAAAAAAAAAGCAAGTTGCAGAATGAAGTTTACAGCATGATACCATTTAAATAAATTAAAACAAAGCAATGCTACATATTCTCTATGATAACAAGTAGAGAAAACTGTACTGGACCAACATATACCAAACTCACAAAAATAACTATTTCAGGGAGGGTGCAAGGTCAAGGTTACTGTGGGAACAGGGAATAGGACTGGGAATGGTAGTAAAAGATGACTATCTGTAAATTAGTCCTTTTAAAAAGAGACAATGTACTTTATGTATTATTCGCTTTTGTTTTTGTTTTCTTAAGGCACACGTAAGAAATTGAATGCAAATGTTTATAAATGTTATCAGTATTTAATTCTTACTGGGGGACACTTTCTGCCTTGCACTTTTCCAATCATAACACGCACACATACACACACCCTCCTGCCCTCCCTATACCAAAACTAGGATCATAGCAAGAAAAAAAAGCCTAGAAGAAGCAAACAAGCATTAACAGTCGTTATTTCTGGTGACCTCCCCCACCCCCTCCATTATTTCTACTCTTCTGGCTTTTCACAATTTCTACACTGTATAGCTATAATAAAAAAAAACAAAACAAAACCTGCTGCCGAGCTGATTCTGACTCATAGCAACCCTACAACTGCTGGGAAAAAAGTAAACTTTCAAAGAAAAAATTATAAACAGTATCAAACATTCTAAAGTAGACTTAATTATACATCAATTAACTAAAGCAGAATCCTTTTAAGAGAACCAAGAAAAAAGAAACAAAAATAAAAACCTAACCCACTGCTGTCAAGTTAATTCCAACCCATAGCGACCATGTAGGACAGAGCAGAACTGCCCCGTAGGGTTCCCAAGGCTGTAAATCTTTACAGAAGCAGACTACCACATCTTTCTCCAGAAGAACAGCTGGTGCGTCTGAACCACCAACCTTCTGGTTTGCAGCTGAGTGCTTTAACCACTGCGCCACCAGGGCCCCTCCTTTTAAAGGAGAGTCCCCAAATCAATTATTTGAAATCTTGTATCTTACTCGTTTTATTAATATAAATTCATAACAGAAAATCCCCCAAGATACGAAGCACACGGTCCTCAAGACTGGCTGTAGAGAATAACACACCGCTATCACAACTGCCAAGAAACTTCCCAAAGAGTGGAAAACTTTAATGTTTAGCCACTATGTGCTTTCAGTCCAGAGACTGGTTCTATTATGTGAAAAGCATTTCGCTTGAAGCTACAATTAAGATTTCAACTTTGTGTTGCTGCTTAAAACCCTGCCTCTGCTAGAGTCTCCAAACGAACACCTAGTGAAGCAACACCCCAACGCTGGCTCCAGGTGAGAATCACCAGGAAAGCTCTTCAGAAAACAAGCGCCATGTTAGAAGGCAGCAAGCATTATGGAGGAAAACATAGTGAAGAGGACGAGGGCAGGACGGGGTGGGGACTGCATTTTAAATGGAGGGACAGGGAGGCCTCACTGAGAGACTGGAAGGGAGTGGGGGCGAGCCACCCCGGCACCTGGGTCTGGAAGGGTGTCTGTGCAGCGGGAATAACCAGGTGCAGAGAGCACCAGGAGCTGGCCTGATGTGTCTGCAGAGCAGCCGAGTCTGGTGAAACTGAAGTGGCATGAACAACGGGCAGGAGACTAGGAAAGGGAGGTGAGCAAGGTGATCCGTGTGTGTGTGTGTGTGTGTGTGTGTGCGTGTGCGTGTGCGTGTGCGTGTGTGTGTCCCTTTAGGAATGCTGGCTTCACTGGATGAGACAGGAAGCCACCGCACCTAATGCTGGAACAGTGATAAACAGACACATCCTTCAACTTTTAAACTTTTTTTTTTTTTTAAAGACTCGAATCTTAAAATAGTGAGGCGTTTAGGGGGAACAGCCCCATCAGGTCACGACAGCTCAGCCCTGGGGAAGGACAATGGGAATGGCAGATCTCAGGCAAAATGAACAGGGGCATCTCTCCTACAGCAGAATTGTTATTAGTTGCAGATGAGTCGATTCTCACTCATGGCAACCCCATGGATGCAGAACAGAACTGCTCATAGGGTTTTCAAGGCTGTGACCTTTCGGAAGCAGATCTCCAGGCCTGTCTTCCAAGGCACCTTTTGGGTCAAACTGAACCGCCAACCTTTTGGTTAGTAGTTGAACCATTCGTGCCAATTTGATGTTGCCTTAAAGATGTAGGCAAAGAAAACAGTTACGGTGAAAAGAGCTTTAAACATTTATCAAAACAGTCTCTGAAACATTAAGGTTCCATCCTCACTGTACAAGGTCTGGAGATTCCATTTGGAATCAATATGGTCTCTACGCTGTTTTCAATCAAAACTAGATTTTGGCTTGGCTGAAGCCAAGAGTAGTTTAATAGAGAGGGCCAAAAAGAACTTAGCAAACATGTTCTTTAGCAATAAATGGGTGGAGCACAGTCCCCAGTGCCCCTGCTGAGTATAAAACACCAACTGAAATACTGGTAGCTCAAAAGCCTCCAGGATAGAGAGCAGAATCAGACAGAAAAGACCCAAGGGATAAATAAACAGGGCCGGGATTCTAGTGTCAATTCTGCTATTAACTGCAGGCCTTGGACAAGTCACTTTGCTTCTCTGGGTCTATAAAGAAACCTATACCTAGTTAGTTGGACTATGCAATCTCTAAAATCTCAATGCTTAACATTCTATTTCCAAAGGCCTTATCAGCTGTAAAAATCTAGACTTTAATAACAATGGCCAGAGCTTTGAGAACAGAGGACTTAAGAGGAAATGTACAATGGTTAAGTCCTTGTTTTTGTTGTCGTCAAGTCAATTCCGACTCATGGAGACCCATGTGTGCAGAGTAGAACTGCACAAGGGTCTTCAAGGCTGTGACCTTTTGAAAGCAGATCACCAGGACTTACTTCCGAGGTGCTTCTGGGTGGGTTTGAACCACCAACCTTTCAGTCATAGTCCAGCGCTTAACTACTGCACCACCCAGGGACTCCTGTAAGGCACCTTTTCTAGGTACAGAAGTACTCTGGAGAACACAATACAGAACTACCAACATTAAGACTTGCTAAAATGCCACAAAATCCGCTGACTATTCCAAAGTAGGTAGAAACAGAGTTTTGCTCTGAAGAATAAGCACTCCCAGACCAACTTTACAAAATAGAATAAAACAAACAAAAACTTCCTGGACTAAAATGATCTCTTCCAGACTTTTAAAAAATTGTTTAAAAAAATATCCAAAGTAAATAAATGGAAAGGGGCATATATATCCTTTAAATTTGTTCTTGGACAAGCTGTGGGTAGCACTTCTGGCAAAGCGATTTACATTCTGGATAATGATCCCAACAAAGGAACTTCTGGATGACAGGGGCAGGGAGACTGAGAAAGAACAGGCCAGGAATTCAGAGAAGGACCGTTCTCAGGACCCAGCCTGTTTGCCCTGGCACGTTCTCTTTCCTTTTGGCAATGCTATCACCACACTAATGAATACGTCTGCAACAAGAGAGTTTTCCCAACACTTGTTTCCATTCAGCCACGAACTATTTTGAAGATATTTTAAAAGAACATATTTTGAAAACAGCTTTTATGGAAACATGGTAAGTGGTAACAGCAAGTCATTTTTAATCTACATGATTTAAGATTTTACTCACTACCAGACATTTTTAACATACTTCAGTGACCTGACCAGATAAATTCAGGACTCCTTTGTTTAATCTTCAGGACAATTACTCTCTGGCATGGCTCTAGCACATGCAAAAAAAAAGTGGAGAGACAATAGAAACAAACGTCTAACTAAAAAGCCTCTGTTCTGTGTCTCTTTGGTAGAAGTTATTTGTAATTCTGGAGGAATCTAAATCATACTTAGTTGACGTTAAATTATATATACCTTGACTAAAAACAGATTAAAATGGAAAAACACGCCATGCTTTTGCTTCTTCCACCCCAATACTCAACAAATGTCTTGACCCACAGGCTAATAGGCAGAGAGAGAAAACAAGAAATAACATTGTGCCGAGTTATGCTGAAAACTGGTTATTTCAGCCTGTTTCTGTGTCGAGAGGACCTGTACAAAGCTGGACACACTTCTGAGTAACTGCTGATGTGGGGGTTACATGTAAATAAAAGAGGCAAAAAGTCATCTTATTTTCCACCTTTATTTGTGAGAATATTTAATGATCAAATTTGTGGGTAGATGAAATACCCTGGGCCAATCATCTACCCAGAAATCCACCCAGAATAATCTTGAAGATATAAGAGGTCAGACAAGTGACTCAGGAAACAAGGTAAATCCACCCTAAGGTAAACAGATGAAAAGCCAAAGGCAAAACCGGTAGCTATATCCCAGGGACAGACTAAGCCTGGACCACAGGGTTAAGACAGCTGTGGCCGATGCAATTTAATTATAAGCCTATGAGTTCCTTTGAGAAAAAGTGACTAAATTAAGTTATTCTGATATTCTGTCTTCAGGACAAATGCTCACACAAAATAAATTATTCAGAATCAAACTGATTTTTTTTTTTTTTTAAGTAGGCCTAATTTTTTAAAAGGAGCTCTGGTGACACAGTGGTTAAGAGCTCAGCTGCTAACCAAAAGGTCAGCAGTTCGAATCCACCAGCCACTCCTTGGAAACCCTATGGGGCAGTTCTACTCTGTCCTATAGGGTCGCTATGAGTCGGAATCGACTCAACAGCAATGAGTAATTGTTAAAAGATATTAAAGACTGAGTCTTCTCTTGCAGTATCTCAAATTATACATTTTTTAAGAGCAATAACTTAGAATCTTGGAGGGAAACTGGTTGAGAAGTTACCCCAAGCTCTCCATTCCTAACAGCAGGAGGTGACTGGATTTGGGGTGTTCCAGCTGAAATAACAGGTAGGGATGCTGCCAGCTTCACTAGCAACAACCGTACTGCCAGCTTTGTGCACTACTGCACAATCTAAAAGATTTTCATCTTACCTCAGACAGCCAGGCCCAGCCCGTGGCAGCCTGCACCCGGGCAGAAGTCTCTTCAGAGAGCTGAGCCTTTCCTACTCAGGACAGCTGGACCTGGGCTGGTCTCTTCTTGGGTGAGGAACCAAGGAAGGAGCTCAGTGTCAATGCCCTGTGTCATGGGAACTTCTTAACTGATCCTGTGTTTGCTCAGGAGATCTAAACTCAACAAGGGGTCCTCTTTCTGTTTCTTCCTTTCTCTCTGATAATATGGAGGCTGAGGAATGGGCTGGATGGATAAGAAAAGTTCACTTATAACTAAGAAAAGGTCAAGTGTTATCCTTCAACAGCATAACCCTTCTACCAACCTTGCAGATTACCAAGACCTGCAGCCTTAAACCTATTCTCCTATAGTTTCATTTTTAGAAGACTGTAACCTCTTTCCTGTCCCCATAATTTATCTTCTCAGATATAAATGCAGTGTCTGAATCAGCCAGTATTTATTTTCATGGTCAGAATACAGAAGTATGGTACAAAGTACAGTATAGAAGGACGCTTTTGACTTGAAATCACAAGACTCAATGTAAAGTCTCTACAACTCTTAATAAACACAGTAGGAGTTCAAAGACCAGGCTCCAGTCAGACCGCCTAAGTTTAAATCCTAGCTCCACTGGGAGAAGCTGTGTGGCCTTGGGCAATTTACTAAACTGCTTTGCCTTTGTGCTTCCTTATTCCTAAAACTAGGTTAACTAATGATATCTACACAACATAGGATTGCCATGTAAGGCACAAGTACACTCAGGAAGTGTTATCATTATCTTAATGAACTAGTAATTTCATCTCATTTTCTTCATCTTAAAAATGAAAATATCTGCCCTACATATCCACCTCTCTTAATTCCTCAGGAATTATCAAGAGTATCAGAGGATATTTCGGTTATGGGATATTAGGTTTCCTATAACCCCATCATACTGGAAATGCAAAACACAGTTACTCTAATATTTATTATTAAAAAGACCATTCTGACTGCATTTTGTATAATGGAAAAAACACTAGACTGGAAGCCAGAAGGCAGACTCTCCAACTGGTGAGCAGTGATATAGCTCTGCCTCTCTGGGTCTCATTTTTCCCATCCTTAAAATGAAGCGAGTGGACTACATAATTTCTAACGTTCCTTCTAGAAATATGGTTTTCACCAACATCAGGAAAATGAGCAAATTTTAAACTGTGTAAACATGGTCTTTAAAGGCAACTAGGACATTACTCTTATTTGTCTTTAAAAGAATTTCAGTTTAACCAAAGAAAAAGGAAGCCAAGAATACAAGTTTTCATTACGATACCAAATCCTCAAGGGGAAGAAAAGGATTTAATGCCAAAAACATGTCAGAATAACCAGCTCAAAACCTAGAGGTCACCTACTACAGTTACAGTAGAAACTAACCTAAACAGCAAGTCAGAAGGAAATTTTCATATGCAAATGGACAGATTATATAATAATTTTAATTGTCAAAGGCAGAATTACAAATCTGATAGAAGCAAGCATATGCAAAGGCAGGACTTACCCTGAGAGGTGGCCTGGAGGAGGGGGAGCTAACATACTATTTCTACTCTGGCTGATACCAATCAAAATGATTTAGATATTACAGACTGCTAACAGCAGGATTTCACAGTAACAGGACCAACTGGCTTCCTCTCTCACAGAGAACTTAGGCACCTGGCCTGTAGGGTCTCTCTCCACCCCAACGCCTGTCCTTTGTAGCCAAATTTTAGTGACCATACAGACTATGCTCCTGACACTCTGGCCTCAGTTCCTTAACCTTCTCCTCAATGACCTTCCTCTATACCATTTCACTCCACACTCCCCAGGATATACCTTGAACCTTGGGATCACTAGAAACAGGTCCACCTCCAAAAATCACCCATTCAGACATCCCCTCTCTGACCACAGTCTACTGTATCCTTCCAACTCACTTGCCAAACAGCATCCCACCCATGAACAATTCTTTCATCTGCAAGCTGTAATCCACTGACCTTCCCACTGACCCGTCTTCTTACCCAATTTCAGATTTAAGAGTCACCACCATCATCAATCTCTGGCAATCCTCTGCAAATTCCTTGACCTCTCCCTCTCTAAAATGGTCATTCAGCAAATCCACAACTCTGAAAGAACCCAATCATCCACATTCTCTATACCTGGACTTAAGGATGTCACCAAGTAGGCATCCATTCACTCATTCACTAGACAAACATTCAGGGCATGTCTTCTATGGAACAGGCAATGCATCAGGGCCTGAACACTGGGGGTATGGGGGAAGGGGCCAAGGGTTGTTAGCAAAACAGACCTGGACTTCCTTCATGGAGTTTGCCTCTATGACTTGTTAAAATTGTGCTCAGTAACCTTTTACGGGCTCATCACCACCTACAGCCCTCCTCTCTCATTTCTCTAGTAGCTTGTTCCTCCAGCCTCAGTGACGTTTACACTTTACCATTATTCTGCACACCTCCCGCTCCTTTCCCTCACTTTACTTCTCCATCCCTCTTCCCCCATTCTCACTTGCAGTTAACAGCCTTGCCCATTTTCTCTGAGAAAATGCAAGCCAACTGGCAAGATTCCTTGTTTCCCAAGACCACTTCTAAAATCTTTCCTACACACACTCGATTCTCCTGCCTTCGCAGCTCGCTCAGTTGGTTGTGCTCTTCTCCAGCACCAGTTATCCATTTGTGTCCCGATCTTCCCCCGCCTTCCTTCTCAAAGGCTCTGCTCCGCAGTCATCCTCCTGACCTCCAATATCACCAAGCTTCCCCTCTTTTCTAGACTACTCTACAATAAGCATTTAAACATCCTTTAGAATCTCCCATTCAAAAAAATAAAAAAAACCTTCCAACCTTTTATCTTCCTTTAGGTACCACCCCAATTTGCACACTTTCCTTAATACAGGCAATTTCTTCAGAGCAATGCAGGTTCCTCAACCTCTGCACCCTGGTCTAAACAAAAGCAACAGCTTTAGAACTAGCTTCGTCTCCTGACCCTCCACAGCAGAGTGATAGCTAAAAAAACAAATGAGATTTTTTCACTATACTGCTTAAAACTTTCAATTATTTTTTCCATTACATTTAAAATAAAATCCAACTCTTTAATCTGGTCCACAAAGTGCTCCATGACCTGGCCCCTGCCCACCATTGGGACCCCCCGGCTCATACCTCTCTCATACCCACCCTCACCGGTCCCATTTCTTTTCCTTGAGCACGCAAAGCTCCTTTCTGCCTAGGGGCCTTTGTACTCACCATTCTTTCCGCCCCCTTGATCGTGGGGATCAGGGCTGGCTTCTTTTTTTCATTAAAGTGTCAGCTTCCATTTACTTTCTCAGAGAGGCCCTTCCTGAATGTCCGATCTATAGTAGGCAATTCTGTCGATTCTATCACACCAGCTCTCTGCATAAAACTACGGGACATTTAAAATTGTTTTATCTTCTCCCCAGGAAGAATTTGAGTGCTAAGAGAACAATGTGTTCACTTCCATATCCCTAGCACCTAGAATAATGCCTGGCACACAATAGGTATCCAATAAATTTGTGGAATTGAGTAGAAGAAATTATGTAGGACATATCCATTGTCTAAGAAAATAGTTCTGACTTACCTGCCAGACATAATTTTTTAAAAATCCATCCTGAAAAGTTTCATTTTCAGAACACCAGTGAATCAAAGCTTTTAACAGTGGCTTACATTCTCACAACGTTATCATAAATTTTTTTTTTTTTTTTTTTTTTTACAAACTTTCTTACTGGAATCTTTTTTCCTCTGTACTGGAATCCAAAGATATAGATCATTACACATTAGCAATTATATGACTACAGGCAGTCCCCAGGTTACAAATGTCCAGTTTATGAATAACTCAAGAATGACTGCCATAAAGCCTATTATATTAAAAATTTGAGTTAAATATGATGGTTCGTAATAACAAATACACACCTTACTTTGTGATGCACGTGAAAACACTGCACGGTTTAGAAGTGTTTCTTATGTGTGTTAACGTGCACAGAAAGGTAAGATATATACTATATACTAAGACAAACATCTGACTAACACTAAATAAGAACCGTATGTACCTATTCTGACTTACATACAAATTCAACTTAAAGACAAGAACAGATCTCATTGGTAACCTGGGGACTGCCCATATTTGAGACAGGAACTAAACTCAAACCCAAGATCATGAAAGTAGAGAAGTACGAGGGTAATCATAATGGAATTTTGCTTCCTTGGTCTAAGAATTCATTCCATTTGTGGAAACAGAGTGGTCCAAGTAGGCCTCTGTCAAATGACTAATTCAGAACCTCTCATGAATGACACACTCCTCTCTACTCCAAATCCTGGCCCACCTCTTATTAAACACTGCTGGCTTAAGTTACTCCCACTAGTTCCTGAGGGACAAGTCATAAAATTTTTCCATCTAGGAAAACACAAAATGGTTAAGTATTCTAAGTTCTATAGTTTGGTCATACCATACCATAAAATTCCATTCCAAAAACAGTATAATTTCTAGCCATAATGGAATAAAAAATTCATAATGCTACGAGTCTTCTAGTCTCACAATGAAAAGGGTTAAATACTTTCCTTTAATCACTCGCACAAGTGAAAAAGTATACATATATATAGTACACTGATTATCAGAGTATCTTATTAAGAACCTACTGGAGACTTGGAGACTTAAAAGGAACTGACTGGTTAGCTAGTATAGTTTTCCTTAGAATGACCTATACTCATCTTATTTAGATGAGTCTGATTTAATTTTAAAGGCCATTGGTATAGCTCAATATAGTATTTTAACTATCTTTATTGGCCATGACTTTTTCATTTTGTCTCTGTTTACTCAAATGGGTTTGCTAGCTCTTGCTATAAGCTATTGACATCCAATTCCATTGCAGAAAGACCTTGTTGGTTTTTTTTTTTTCTTCCTGGCCATTCTAACAACATTCAACAAACCATTAAGCACTTCCTGCAGAATCTGGTTTGCAACCAACCATTCCTCTTCCACAGTTGGCTCTGGTATTATCAAAGTGCAATCCAGACATCGTGCATATGGCCTGGTCCTAGCAGGAGGCCCTCCTCACTGATGATATGAAGAGAGAGGAGACCAAGAGGGCAGGGAGAGTGTGCAGTGGTTTTGTGGCCAGAAGACAGGATCCCAACCTTACTTACAGTTAGTGGCATTTCAAAAGTTAGTTTTTAGACATGTTAGCTGGATCTTTCAACATAGTTTTCCATACAAACACTGTATAAATGGTGACATGATTTCCAGGCTGATCTTAAAAGATTCTAAAATACCCCATAGTTCCATCTGAGGTGAATACAGTTTTATTAATATACTAGTCAGTAATCATTTAAAAATAAGATAAAATGAATTCTTAATCAAATTTATCTTGAAAACCAATTTTTTTTTTAATGCGAGTTTTTAAGTAAGGTAGGTATGATCTGATGGAGACCTCTATGTATCCTAAAGGCGATTATAAGGTACTTTCAAAATGTTTATAAGCTGAAAGCCCTGAATCTAATATTTTATGTCTTCATTTTATGACTCATGAGTTTCTTTTTCCTTTGCTAAGTTTATCAAAAGTATTATTATTATTATTATTATTAGCTGTCAACGGGGGCCCTTTTTTGGTTCACATGAAGAGAAAAATGGAGCAAAATGGGAGCGGGGGGCAAAAGTGGAAGAGTTGGACAGTGAACAGAAACAGGTGAGAACTACCCAAGAGAAGGGAAAAGACTGTAAAAGAAATATTAAGGGTGATGGTGTAATTTGGGATCAGGTAAGGGTGATAATTGAACAACATGATGAACTTAATATCAGTGAACTGTAGATGCTAAGATTGTTGAAATGACAAATGTTTTGTTATGTATATGTTTACAACAATCAAAAAAACAGTTGGGGTAAAGGTATAAAGCAAAAAGACGAAGGGAAGAAAACAGTATACACTTTCTCTCTCTCTCTCACACACCCACAAACGAAAAAAGAAATGAAGTTGGTGGGAAATGTGTGGGTCAGGCGGGCCCTTAAGCAAGCTACCAGGTGAGAATTCTGGCCAAGGATAGCTTGATGGCTTTCTAGAACAAAAGGCGGCGAAAGGGTGGAACCAGACATTGATGTACAGGGCTTTCAAAAGATAGGCATTTGCCATATCTTTAACAGTATTTACTTTTATAATAAAAGTGAATTTATTTTATAATATTTGAAAACAACATAAAAGTATGTTTTTAATCCCCTTTAACCTAACACTCATAGATAACTATAGTCAATATTTGGTGTTCATACTTGGAATGCGCGTGGAAAAAAATAACGGTTGCACTATACATAGTTTAACATTTTCCTGTGTATTTTTTTTCAAAGATGGTGTTAAAACATGATTAATGACTGTAAAACATTTTGTCCATTAAAATATACTATAATTTAACTACTTTATTATCAGTTTGGTAATTTAGATTGTTTCCAACTTTTAAATATTTTCAGTAACTAATTTATATATTCTGGAACATTAATCTTAGTGTACATCTCTGAATATTTCCTTGGGATAATTTTTAATTTTTTTTCAGTGGAATTAATCAAAGAAGATAAAGTCTTTACCAATCAATACATACTACTAGATTGTCTACATCATAATTATCTTTGCCAACTGTGTTGAACCTGCTGATTTAATAAGTCACATATTATCTCATTGTTTTAATCTGCATTTCCTGGATTAGACATGAAGCCATTTGATATCATACGCTTACTGGTTATCTTTTATTTTTATACAAAACTGTTCTACATTACTTGCTTTTTATATGAGATCAGAGATCACTATCTTTATTTCACCCCAGAGCAACTGCAAATCTGGATTTCTTTGCCTGGTGAAAGCTTTCTCTTACTAGATTAGCACACGGGACTAGATTAGCACATGGATCATGGCTGAAAACTTGAGCCTGGAGAAGTAAGGAATATGGCAATCTCTACAGTAACTTCTTTACATGAAACAAAATCTTCACGGACTGGGGATTACTTGGGCTTTTGAATGTTTCTACAGTCCTCACGTGCACCTTCACATCTCTGAAGCTTTGTAAAGACTATGTTCTCAACCCATGAAACACAATCTCGTAAAAGCTTGTCTCCTCCACACTCTCATTTCCTAAACTGAGGTGCTGACTTACACCTCACCTCTCCTACAACAATGAAATGCAGCCGCTAAAGCAAGTGCAATATTTTATTTATGCTCACCCATCTCCTTTCCCAATTAGCCTTCCTAACATTCAGAACAGAGTGCCACGTACCCTGAGGAATTAATATACTGGTCAATGTTAAACACGCAGAGTTCATTTCATTGCGATATCTCACTATATAGATGAGGAAACTGTGGTTCGGATAAGATGGGTATCATTCTCATGGTCAAGGAGAACAGGGCCAGAATCTCTTTCCTGCTGTTCGGTCCATGACCAATCACTCTCTCATAACTGTGGGTAGTAACACTCAGCATCTCTGCTAAGCACTCAAGGAATGTTTCTGAATGAAAAAGATAAAGACTCTAAATCTTCAAATAAATCAGATTTATTTTAAAACACTCTCTCAGGAAAACTCAGCAACTATTTCAATGATGTTACAATTGATTAAAGGAGTTTGAGAATTTCTCTTTGAAAGTGCCCACAGGGCCAGTTTACAAGAAAATCACAATCCTTAAACTTGAGTCAACTCCATAAGTACACATCATTTTACACTCCAACTGATATTACTTCATTTTTCCATTTATTTTATTGCCTAGGCTTAAATAGCCTTTAGCCATTTCAAAAATTCATATCCAGCTTCAAAGCATCAAGCTTACCATCACTGATGATATTCAAAGGGTATGTAAAATTCCAAAAATGAGCTCAAAACATTTGAAACAATGATGGCATTTTGTTAGAATAAGTTCATAACCTCCCAAGGTGACTTCCTCTTTCCAAAGAGGATTCAGGGTAGCTATGTTACTGTTTTGAAGAAAACACTCATTCAGAGATGTAAATTGTTTTTAAAAAGACATTTTTAGTTACATCTTATGCAATCATGTAACTATTGAAAACATGACTCTCTAAAACTATATTTAGACAGAATCCCAAAGATGAGGTGGGGGGTGGGGGAATGGGAGGGGATCAGTGTATATCAAATTATATTGAAGAGCTGAAAATATAGCTCAGGAAGAAAAGCATGCTTGCCCAGATACTATAGGGGCAGGATTCAAAAAAGAATGATGACTCTGGGTTTATATCATCTCCTTCTTATATATAATTTTACAACTATCTACACAATTCTAAAAGGAAACCTTGCTCATTCTAAGTGAGCCACTAATCTCAAAATGTTTAAAGCACATCCTAACAGTAATTTCACTGTTGACTACCTGAAAATGGGTCACCCCACAGCTGATTAAAACTCTCTTATGCAATCTTCCTCTGGAGGAAACAAGGACAGCTTGTACAAATATTTCAACTAGATCTACTTCCCCAAGAGACTACGATGCACATTTGTAGGCATTACCAAGTTCCAAAAGCACACAAAAAGGCAGAGGAATAATTATGAAGTTAAATTAGCCTAGTCATTTGTCCCAGCCAATTTCATACTACATCATTCATTTTAAAAAGTACACTGGCTTCTGTAGTGTCATTAGTTAATAAATAAGCAACATCTAAAATTTAGATTTTTTTACTTTGAAAGTTATGGTAAAACAATCACATGACCTGGAAAGAAATGTTAAGACAGATCTGAGTAATAACTACATTTCTACACGATATATAACTGCATTTCTGTAAGTTCACTGTTACCTTCAACAAGCTATACTCTGTTTCCTTTCTGACTAGGAATCTAGGGTAATAAAACTAGACACAGCATGCCAGTTGTTAGTCTCTAAAGAGGTATTTTTGAAATATATTTGAATGACTTGGCATCATTTGGGAAATCTGTCTGTAAAGGCTTTACATACCACTCAACTACACAAAAGCTTAAAATGCCTGTATAGAAAGAAACACCATAAAGTTCACAAATAAACTGAGGAGGGAGAACCTAACATTACAGAAAAGCTCTCCCCAGCTGGGTGAAGCCTGCATCCCATCATCCTGGACTAGAGCTAATGACAGGGCTGCTGCCTCAGGCTATGCAGGTATTCACCTCACACTCCCCCTCCTATTTCACCGACTGACAATCTTCAAATGAGCACTGAGAGTTCTCCTACCTAAGAAGGAATTAGAGATGCTCTGTAGTTATTTTTATGGCATTAAGACTCTAAAGTGTCTAAACAGCTACAGGTCCAGGGAGAGGATGCTGCATTTGATTGGGACTTAGTCTGCGACTGTCCTAGCTTTTCTGCATTATTTACCCTGGACACAAATGTTGTTATTGTTGTTGGTAGCTGCCATTAAATCAATTCTGACTCACGGCAACCCCATGTGTGCAGAGTAGAACTGCTCCACAGGATTTTCATGGCTGTGACCGCTAGGTGGGTTAGGTGCCTGGAATCAAAGCATAAGCTCAGAGGTACATCTCTTTAAAACATTTTTTTGTTGTACTTTTTTTTTGTTTGTTTTTTTGCTTTTTTTGGGGGGAGGGGGGTCTAAACCCCAAGAAATCTATCATTAGTTCTAAAGACAGCCCACAGCAGTAGCAAGATGTCTGAACGTGAGGCTAAGTCTAACCTTGCTCAATATATTCCAATTTTATTTTCTTGGTCTTACTTAAAATTGGTCAGTATTTTATAATATTATAAAATTATCTACAGATTGAAGTAGAAAAGGCTGGTTTAAGTTACCTGAATTACCACCATTCTATAGTCCCAAAATATTTAAAGGTGCCAACCTTCAATCAGACATACCTCTATGGCAATTGTCACTAAAAGTACCTTAAAGGGAGAGCCAGGCGAACAACATCACCAGTTAGAGCCAAAGGAATAAGAAATCAAAGAAAAGGTCCAAACCCACTGAGGTTTCTACTCGACTCTATTCTGCTGTTTAGACAGCTAAAAAGATTGGCGGTGGGGAGAATAGAGAAGGATCATCTAAGTATCCAGAGATGGAATGAACAAAAGCAAAGCAGGATCTAGGGAGAAGCAAAGATTTAAATATCATAACTGGAAGTCCCCCAAAAGTCACCTATTAATTAACCAAAGCCAAAAAAAGGAAACATTTAGTTAAGTAACCATTTCTGGAATTTATTACTTCCCACAAAATGGAGGATTATTTTACTTTTACTTTTTCCCTTTGATTAAAAAGAAACATCTAGAAAGAGACGACACTGGATAGTCACATACCTATAGATGGAGATTTGAAAGGGTATTTATCAGGAAGATCCACTCTAACTTTCCATACTCCGCCTTCATACGGTGCTGAAATAAATAAAAGTAACAATGTTAAGCATTAGAACCATGTCTCCAAATTAGAAAATAAACCTGAGTGCGAATTAAACCTTAAATGCTAATATCTTCTGAGAACCTTGCAAACGAATTCCTTCAAGAGCCAGGGACACGTTATAACCAGTAGGAACCCTATATTCAGATTTAGATACTTTTCTTTAAAAGATCCAGAGTTAGAGAATAAGCAAAGATTCACTCTCTTCCCCAAACTTACTTGATTCTTTAAAGTATTAAACACTATTCAATTATTTGGTAAGAATAGCCACGTTCCTTTCTCTCCCATCTCGACTAACCCTGTATCCCCCAGACACACTGAAAAAACAAAGATAAAAACAACAACCAAAAATAAACAAAAAAACTTACTTCCCACAAACCATCCAAATAAAATGTAGAATTCACAATTCTAATACTGTCACATAGGAATAAAACAGAAAAGCATATAAAGTAATTATGACTAAAAATTTCCTCACTGGTTCTAAAGTTCGATTAAACTTACTATTCAAAAACTACACATACCACCACACCATGTCTTTGATAGTCTCATCGTCTACTAAGAAAATAGAGTAGAAGATTGTAAGAGAAGAACACAAAGCAGCACATGTACTTACTTCCTTGTGGTCCATAAAACTTCACTACAAATTCATTCAGTCCTCCCAGGATCGTAACCTCATGCTTACTCTCAATGCTAAGGTGGAAGGTAAAGGAAATTACACGGACATTATATTACCTGGAAGTTAACACTGGTGACTTCCCCAAATATGTCATTTAAAGTGTTACCAAAATTTGGTATGAAACTGGTAAAATTAGAACAAACAAAAAAAACCAAACCCATTACCATCAAGTCGATACTGACTCATAGCAACCCTAGGACAGAGTAGAACTGCCCCATGGGGTTTTCCAAGAAGCAGCTGGTGGATTCGAACGGCTGACTTTTGGTAAAATATAACAAATGCATAATAACTGGGATGATTAAGCAGGCAATACAAAACAACATATTGCACTGGGCAATTCTGATGCAAAAGACCTCTTTTATGCGTTAAAAAGCAAAGAAGTCACTTTGAGGACTAAGGTGCACTTGTCCCAAGCCACAGCATTTTCAACTGCCTCATATGCATGTAAAAGCTACACGATGAATAAGGAAGACCGAAGAATCGATGCTTTTGAATTATGGTGTTGGTGAAGAACACTGACTATACCACGGACTGCCAGAAGAACAAACAGATCTGTCTTGGAAGAAGTACAGACAGAATGCTCATTAGAGGCAAGGATGGCAAGACTTCATCTCATATACTTTGGACATGTTATCAGAAGGGACCAGCCCCTGGGCAAGGACATCATGCTTGGTAAAGTAGAGGATAGGCAAAAAACAGGAAGACCCTCAGCGAGATGGACTGACACAGTGGCTGCAACAATGGGCTCAAACATAGCAGCAATTGTAAGGACGGTGCAGGACAGGGCAACATTTTGCTCTGTTATACACATGGGGTTGCCGTGAATTGAAACTGACCTGATGGCAACTAACAACAACAGGAGGCAATACATACTCTTGTGAAAAGAACACGCATGAGCTCTGGAGGCAGAAACTGGTGTCTGAACTGCGGGACTGCCATTTTCCAGGTTTGTGAGTCTAGACAGTCATTCAACTTTGAGCCTTTGCTGTCTCTCTTTGCAAACTGAAAAAACACCGCTTCTTAGTTTTTCCATGAGGATTAAATGGGTTAAATATGTAAAAGGCATAAGGTTGCATTCTGTATATATGTAAAGCAAAACAGACAATTAATTTTAGCTTTTCTCCCCTCTGTGCCCCCAACTCCTCTCCAATCTATCCCCAATGTGCCTTTAACATAAATCCAGCACTGCCTTTAGTCAAATTCAAATACACAGCAAAACACAGATTCTCCTAAACTGGAAATGCTGTGCTCCCAAAATTATGGATCTACTACAGAAATTTTTCTCCTTGGTACAGAATAATCAAGATAGTTAATAATACAACCAACACTGCCAAGTGTGAGAGACCAGCAAAAAATATATATAAAAAAAAAAAATTTAGTCCGTGGCATTTATTTCCATTTACTAGTTCCTTCCCACCCAAAACTACATCCCCCTCTAGGCTCACTTCTAGGTGCTGGTGTGCTCTGGGGCTCTTCCTCAAAAACTGACCTGCGCCTGAGACTCATTCCCCTTTCAGGTACTAAGAGTCAATTACAGAATTCAAACTAATCCATATTAGTAGAAGAGAGGGCTACTGGTCTAATATCTGTTCTATATCTCTGCTTTGTGGTCTAACCCAGTAATACCTCTACTGGCAGAAATTTTAGGTGTGGGGGCTTTGAGGAGCTCTCAAATCTTACTGCACCCTTAAAAAAAAAGGACAGACTTATCTCATCTTTCTTAATAAGCAGTGCAAATTACATTTGAATTACACTATAGAAAAGAGAAAGACGTTGAAGAAATTTAAAAATGATCTCTTAAATTAAAAAAAAATAGGTTATCTTTAAAGGCCTGAGGTTAAGTATTGGGCTCCCCAGTCCTCTGTTCTGTACGCCACCGAAAGGACTGCAAGAGGCCAGGTGTAACTGTGGCAAAGTCCATGGCTCAAGAGCCTAAAATAGTACCCACAAGAGATACTTAAATAAGATAATTTGGTCTAGGCTAACTTGATCTCATTCTATCCAAATGAAAACTCACTATGTTAATACCAAGCAAGATGAAATGATTCAAAAAGTCTCCACATAGGAAAGTTGGCTTCACTTCTCGCTTGGTCAGCGAGCACATGCACACGTGCTCTGGTCGCTAAATTCTTCCCAACCAACTACCAAAGGGCCACTCTGATAGCCTACAAAATATCCCAAAGTTAATGCTACTGCAGTAAACAATAGTACAGCATGTTTAAATTATCTTAAAAATTTAAAAAGAAGCATCCTTAATTCAAGGAGAGAAATCAAAGTAAAATCAGTTACAATAAGCCAAATAAAATACAAACAGGGAAGTCCTCCAAGAAAACAAGACTATTTAATTTTTTAAATATTCTAAACCAAAAAACCAAACTCGCTGCCGTCGAGTCAATTCTGACTCATAGTGACCCTACAGGACAGAGCAGAACTGCCCCATAGGGTTTCCAAGGAGCAGCTGGTGGATTCAAACTGCCGACCTTTTAGTTAGCAGCTGAGCTCTTAACCACTAAGCCACCAGAGCTCCATTTAATACTGTAGGGGGTAGAAAAGAATGACACCTAAGAATGACACCAAGGCGAAAAGCCATAAAGGAAAAGATTAGCAGATGAGAGCACACACACACGTTTAAAGCACATTTATACTGTAAAAGACAAAGGAGAAACTAAGAAGAAAACAATTTCAACATGACAAAAACTGTCACTCTTTTTCTACACGGAGTTATTACAAAGCAGTAAAAAAAAAAAAAAAAAAAAAAA